GAGAATCGAATTCTCTACCTCGTATTTGATTGTACCCTGTACGCTCATAGCAGTGTCTCTTCTCTTTAATAACACTTTGAGACATATAAGGAGGTTTGATCTTTCTACCACGGATTAGATTGTGTCCTATACCATCGGAGCAGAGCCACTTCTTTTTAATAACAATTTTTGACATAGAAAGAGGATCGAAATCTCTACCACGTATTAGATTGTGTCTTATACCATTACAGCAGGGTCACTTCTCTTTAATAATACTTTGAGACATATAAGCAGGATCGAACTCTCTCCCACGGTTTAGAATGTGTCCTATCCCGTCAGTACTCCAATTGTGCTTGCAAAATGCCAGATCTCACCATGCGTCAATTCATTCTCTTTATCACCATGTGAATATAATTTTGTTTATGTCAGTGCAACTGCCAACTTGCCTCAACTTGTTATCTACAGTGCACGCAGCTCCCACGTAATTCATCCGATTTTCTTTCTTTTGATTACTATCAGTTTACAAACATTTTTAAACATTTCCTAGAATTCCGTTTCTCTTAAGTTTCCTAGAAATTATTTAGTTTTGTTATAACTGTGTGAACGACCGGACGTTAAACAAGATTATATTTCAGTTGCCTTTCAAGGTTTTTCAGACATTTTTTTATTTTATTTTTTTCTCATATTTTTCTCTCTCTCTTTCTTTTTCTTTTTCTTGGCAAATAAACATTCCATTTGCGTATAAAACGCTCTTGTACTGTTTAAATATACAACCGTTGATTCAATCGTTTTTCTAGCGCGAGGCACATTCAACAAAAAGGATACTGCTCACAAAGAGTAGTGGTAAATATCCTTACAACACATATTTAGGACATCGCATTTTAATTTGACAGATTTCGGAACCTTATATCACTCGTTATTTTTTTTCTTTTCCTGTGCTTGTTTTCAAATATTAGCAAGTGATGGTACCCTCTATATTAACTTTATACTGGTAAATAGAGCAGTATTAATACACTATATTTCTGGGGTGACAGAATTAATTTCAAATCGAGGGTAATTTGCAGTTCAAGCCCTGTAGTCCGTTTCTAATAAAAATTTACTGAATTGTTCTATTTAGGTGTAAAGTTACATGCTTTATTCGAAAAGAAAATTTGATAAAATCTACCGTTTTGGAGTTATCGACAATAAAAGTTCAGACTCATTCGCGTCGCGGTGGGTTAAAATGTAATTAATTCTGCACCCATTTACATGTATTTATGTGTTTGCATTTTCATGCGTTGTAGCAGTGCTAGTTACTGGAACAAGCTATGAGGGTAACATCCAAGCATTGGTCATTAAGTCAGGCCATAGAAGCTGCCGGACTTTACACTGTTCCATAAAGATGCTTTAATTGCAGGTCAGTGCTTAAAATAGGTCTAAATATGTAAATAAATTGGTCAAAAATTTTCAACCATACAAGGGGACCCTCACTTGGCTTTTCAGTGATCGGACAATGAGGACCGATTTGTTCTGCATTCTCGTTCATAACTGGGTGCATCAAAAGGCGGAAAACACCCCGTTGCATGCTCACGAGGAAACGAAAGCTGAATATAAACGTCAGAGTGAGAAAATGTAGACTTGAACCCTGTTTCCAACTTATCCCCTTGTTTATTTCCGAGATTATCTGGCTAGGTAAGTAGGCTACACTTGGGGACAATTTCTGCCACTTCTGATATCTCAAATTAACAGATCAGCCGAGCAGCTGGCAACTCTTACAGGCGGCAATAGAACTACTTCGGTAGTCATCTTTCACTCGGTAAAGTGCAGCGCAACATTACATTTGTAACTGTTAATGTAAGCCTCTGACAGGAGGTCTTCAAACTCAGGTTTTGTTCGCACTTGTCCCCCAAATCTTTTCATTTATTTATCTATTATTTCATTATTTTATGGTCAGGTGTGTGACCGCTTAGAAAGACCTCATTTCACAGACCTTATCGCTGGTCATAAAACACGAAACACTTCAGACTGAGATAGAATCACACACCATAAAATTCTCTGTAGACGTCCAATCCTTTTGGTATTTTATGGTTACATGTTGCACAAAATGATAATCTATTCAAAACAGAAATAAGGACAACCAAAATGTATATCATATTTATTTAATAATGAATCCTATTTTCAGGAAACGCAGTTCCTACAAAAGTATCTACCATGAAAAATTACATACCAATTATTTGCGAATTTTGACTCGGGAGCTCGGGCAGAAGGGTTAAAATTGTTCAGGAACGCAGGGCTCGAAGGGTTAATCATCTCAGAGATCCCTTTCTGCATTCCGTCAGTATGGCCGATGCTAACCTCCAAGAGAGTGACTCGTTGCGCCTCTTCTAGGTAACATGACATGAAGTGGAAAAATTATATTGAATCCATTGATAGGTCAGCTGCTAAGATAGTTGATTCACTATGTCGTGGTAGACAATTTTTCTCTCCTAAATCTATCTTATATATCTAAATGTCTACTATTAGTCCATACTTAGAATATTGATGCTACATACGGTCCGGTGCTCCTGTGATATATTTAGAAATTCTTGATGAAGAAAAATCTGCAATTTATCCTGATCTGACGTCTTGACTTCAGTCACTTTCCCGCCGCCGTTAGGTTGCCTCTCTGTGTCTTTTCTATAAATACTTTCATGGTAATTGTTCGGATCAACACTTCGCTATGATATCTAGAATTTGAGAATTTAAACGCAGTACTAATGGACCGAGCGTGTGAGCAACAATGAAATCTTAGAGAGGTTGCAAACAAGGTGGAGGCATATACTTAATATCAGGAAGAGGCAGCCGAAATTTCTGGGACACGTAATGAGAAAGGAAGGCCTGGAGAATCTGATACTCAGAGGTCGAATAGAGGGAAAGAGAGTCAAGAGAGAGCAACGCATGACATACCTGGCGGGATGACAGAACAGGGTCTGGGAGAGGTAGCAGAGGAACGTAACTTATTGAGAGCTGCGAGGGATATGGGGGAAGTGGAGAGTCATGATCGCCTACGTCCTGAAAGGACACGGCACATCAAACGAAAGAAACATTCAATGCTGAAGATATCATGGAACGAGCGTGTAAGCAACGATGTTTTGGAGAGGATGCAAACAAGGTGGAGGCATATACTTAACATCAGGAAGAGGCAGCCGAATTTTCTAGGGCACGTAATGAGAAATGAGGGCCTGGAGAATATGCCACTCACAGGGAAAGAGCGACAAGGGAAAGCAACGCATGACATATCTGGCGGGCTTAAGCAAGTGGGTGACAGAACGCGGTTTGGGGGAGGTGACAGAGAGACGAAACAGAGAGCTACAAGGGATAAAGTGAAGTGGGGAGCCATGATCGCCTCCGACCTGAAAGGATACGGCACATACAAAGAAGAAAAGACAAGATTGGCAAATAGGTCTCATCTATTTACAGTTGAATTGTCTAGATATAACCGGAAGTTCTATGCTAACAATTTCTTCTCTTGTACTTCTCATTTTTGAAACTTTCTTCCAACTCCATACTTTCCAGTCAATTTTGATTTACAAAACATTAAATGCAATGTCAATCGTTATCTACTGTCTTCCTGATCACTTCTCTATTGTTCTCGCTCATTAATAATGTTTACTAATTCTTTAACACCCAGTAACGCATTGTGTCTTAGTGATTTTACTGGGACGAAGTTGATTATCTTGCCGTCAGCAAAGTGACAAATATCGAACCGGTATATAGGACCGTTAGACACACAGACAGATAAACAGATCAATAAAGAAATTAATAAGTAAATTTAAAAAATAATGGATTTCGTGATAAGGGTTTTTAACGACCTTCCGACAAAATGTTTCCCAAATATGGAAATGGTCGGACGGCCGAAGGAAACCGTGTTTAGGAATATTAAAAGTATTTGATGATAGAAGAGTTCATTTTGATACATCTGTAAATAAGAGGAGGCACGGTGGAGTAATGTATAGCGGCTTGGAATCGGAGAGCCGAGTTCGAATTCCAGTCGTATCCATTACATTCACTTACGTGCTAATACCCTTGGGAAAGGTATGACTCCTCTTCTTCTCCCTCCAGCTTTGGGTAAATAGCAGGACAGACTGGGTTCTATAGTCTTGGATGGCAACTGATCTAGGAGAAGGACAACTCTGAATTCAAAACCCGCAGAGGGTCGTTTGGGGACCTTGTGGCACGTAGTGCACCAGGTCTCTGTATTCGGCTCTTCAAAAAGTGTGGATGGTCCTGCACGAAAACTTCACCACTATAATAAAATCTCATGTGCTATACATGCGGGTTTGGGGACCGCTTGTGAATTCCAAATTCCCATGAAACTCCAATATTGGAGCCGGCTCAACCCACCCCGGGAGGAATGCCGTTACAAGAACAAAAGAGAGAGAGAGAGAGAGAGAGAGAGATCTGTAAATGAGGTGATAAGTTTGAAATCTGTAAATTCTACCAGAAGGGATTCGGACAAACCGATCGATCCAACTTAATAAGGCAATTCTTGGACTATAATCGTAACCGTAAGTATTCACGCTTTCGATCTGAAAACCCAGTATAATGAATCTAACTTGGAGACCCGGTTGTCAAACCTTGTGCCAAACGGACACTCTTTTCTTTTTTTTTTTTTTTTTTTTTAGTTCTGTTATTTCAACTCCGGCTCGGGTGTCGAGACGTAATGAAAAAACTAATTTTTTTCCCGCCTTCCTCTACTATCCTAGTTTCCATCTTAACGAAGTCGCCAGGCGAGAAGAAAAAGTCAATCAATTTCTTCTTCTATGCGTCGTATTATTTTAGGATGAAAGGACACGGCACATAAAAAGAAAAAATGAAAAGGTGTATTTGTCTGCATGTGTGTGTGTGTGCGTGTGAATGTGTGTGCGTTTATATGTGCGTGTGCGTGTGTGTGTACGCGCGCGTGCATGTGTGTGTCTGTGTCTGTATGCTTGTGTGCGTGTCCTCGCAACTTTGTAAGTGAACTTTTACCGCGTTGTTAGCAGAAACTTCATTGTCGTCTGATGCCTTTTCTTTCAGCTACTCTCTCTTCCTCTCTCTCTCTCTCTCTTTACCTTTTCTTCTATCTCTCCTTCTCACTCTCTCCCTCTACCTCTCCTTTTATCTCTACTTTCCAATCTCTTTCTCTCTCTAGCTCTTCTACTATCTCTCCTTCCCACTTTCTCTCTACCTCTCCTTTTATCTCTCATTACCACACTTTTTCTCTCTCTACCTCTCCTTCTATCTCTCCTTGCCATTCTCTTTCTGCTTCTCCTATCTTTCCTTCTCACTCTCTCTCTCTCTCTACCTCTCCTTTTATCTCTCCTTGCCACTCTCTTTCTGCTTCTCCTTCTATCTCTCCTTCCCACTCTCTCTACCTCTCTTTCTATCTCTCCTTCTCCCTCTCTCTCTCTACTTCTTCTTCTATCTCGCCTTCCCACTCTCTCTTTACCTCTCTTTCTATCTCTCCTTCCCACTCTCTCTCTACCTCTCCTTTTATCTCTCCTTCTCTAATTCTCCTTCTCTAACTCTCCTTCTATCCTTCTGTCTCTGTCTCTGTCTGTCTGTCTGTCTGTCTGTCTGTCTGTCTGTCTCTCTCTCTCTCTCTCTCTCTGGCAAAGAAACAGACTGCCCTATAAAATGTGTTTATCCAAGTCTCTCGTTACAACTCTATTAAATTTTTTAATAAGACCAGAATGAGATTCTCTTATCGCTAAAGTCGAGCAAGGAGCAAACAAATGATACTCAGTCACTAAATGAAATTTAAAAGAACAAACATTTATTACAGTACATAAAAAATATATATAATATTGACAAAGAACTTCCTCAAAAAAAATTCTTTTTGTACGCCTTATACAAAAACTGAGGTTGGATAACAAATCAAATATACAAGACGTAAAAAAAAATCACAGTTTTTAAAAAATGTTAAAAAAAATAGCAAAAATTAGATAAGAGAGAAAATACAAAAACTGCCTCCACCTGATTTGTAAGACGGAACAGGAAAAACACAGCACGAAGAGAGTTTTCTGGTTTAAGCTGGTTGATGTCACGGGGACTTTTTATATATTTCATTTAGAGAAAAGTTAAGTTTGAGTTTGCAGCTACTTTGAAATCCCTATCGAGAAGCAGGACCAAGTGAATTTCTCCCCTGGGACTTGAATCTGCTTTCCGATTGAGATTTAGCTGTACACTCTTCTTTCTTCCTTCGTAGGGATTTATGACTCCCTTCGGCTTTGACACTTGCTTAGAAGTTTGGGTGCTTACTGTCCTTATCAGCGGGTTAGTCTCATTTTATAAGCAAAACGGAGGCTCCAAGAGGCCTTAATTTCAAAATTTACGAGATCAGATCACGTCTCCGATTGGTCAGTAAATAGAATTATATTTTTCGAATTCAAAAAAAAATGTATCCGCAACAATTCACAAAGAAGAAATTATTTTGGGGGTTCTTTAACCACTAATTCTACAAATAAAATTTTCAAACAACTGTAAAAATTATTCTGAAAAAGTTTTTATTTGAACAAAATATCTATAAACAAAAACAGAATGTTTTGTTTTGTTTTTTATTGTTTTTTTTTTTGTTTGTTTTTGTTTGTTTGTTTTTTTTTTTTTTGTTGTTTTTTTTTTTTTTTTGTTATCCTCTGCCAGCCGCAATGATCGAGAAAGCACCATCGTCAGTGAGGCACGATGCAAGAGCCACTCCGTTTCGCGAGGGTCGTTCGGTAATCGAGACGCAATCCAACAAAACCTCCGAAGGAACGCCATCGAACGATGGCCAATTAGCCCAGAAGTCTTCAATGCCACTGGAGTAAAAATAAATATGTCCGCAAGAAAAGAATATTTCACTATTTATTTATTTAGTTATTTATTTATTTATTTATTTTTTATCTCCGCGTTCCAAGCGACAGATCCCGGTCGAACCGCAGACCTGATCAAATTACCGATCGAAAATGTATCTGTACAGATCGCATCCCTAATCAAACGACTTCCCCAATTTAAAAAGAAAAATCGTAATCCCATCCGGTCAAGGCCTACCGGTTAGATCTGGGAGGGGAAAGCAACTGTATCCAGACCTCTTCTGATGATGTCGATATTGCTGCATGCCTTGGAAAGCGGTCGGCACTACGATGACAGAAGAAAGAATGCAAATCAAACTCATCAAAAATGTATATTTTACAAACAATTCGTCTTTCTTTAAAATACACTTTTCTCAAAAGTACGTGTAAAATAAAAACCTAGACGATTACAATATTTATTTAAAACTTTCAACCAATGATTAACTTTATTTTACGGTAGTAAATTATAAAATTTTTAAAACGCCGATGTTAATCACCGCCCAGCAACAACGTCATACTTGTTTTTACTTCAGATTCGTCTAACACCATAATAATATCACTACACGTTATCTTCTGCCAATAACACAATACCAATATTACAAAAAGTACTTATGTCATTAATTATATTCCAGTTTCAGTCCAGACAACATATTATCAATTTCACACCAGTCAACCTATAAATCGGGTGAGGCTGATAAAAACAGAAGAGATACGATTTCTTGTGGGGAAGAAACAATTCCTTCATCATGTGTTCCTTTCAAAAAATATTTCCACTGGTCCTTCTAGCCATACTTTTTTACTCAGATATTTCAGGCGGAATTAAACATGAACGAGACAACATCATCGAATTGATTAAAAAGATGCTGATTCGTAATGAAGATAAACTGACCAATTCAACTCAACCCAAGCATAATGAAAGCCAGATAAGTGATTTGTTTGTTCTCAGCGATAACATGCCTTTCATCAGTCAAATAATAAGTCTCCTCAATTGTGGATCATTTCCCCTTTCACCAAACAGTTACTTGCGATATTCACTGGATTTTCAAACAAAGAATCTCAGATTGTTTCAGACATGCGATCGATACTACCAAACGAAGAAAAAAGCCGAATCTTTGCAAGTGCAATGCAAACATAAAAATTGGATCTTTAACGAGATTGGCTGTGAAAAAGTTACCTGCCCTCTTCTGACACCGCCACTCGGCGGTTACATTTCAACTAATGCCAATACTTTCAACACAACAGTATATTTCTGGTGTTCCCGCGGTTTCAGTATTAACGGTACAGATAAACTGTCCTGTGAAGAAAATGGTCTCTGGAACTTGCCACCACCGACATGTCACGTGTCATACTGTCGCTCGATTCCACCACCCCGATATGGTTCCGTGTCTAGCCAGGAAGAAATAGCTGTCAATCAAACTATTGAATTTAGCTGCCAAAATGAATATTCTTTAATAGGAGATGCCGTTCTACGATGTCAAGACGATGGCCGGTGGAATACTACGGCACCAGTTTGCAAGAAGATGTGTACTGTTCCTAATATTACAAGTCAATCGGAAGGTATACGCTTGATTCCCGGATTTAAGGAACTTTCGGTCGGTTCTCTAATCGAACAGAGCCAACGCGTCATTTTCTCCTGCAAACCTGGCTACACGGTATCTTCATCTGGACTTTCGATCTGCATTGGAGGTAGCTGGAGACCTCCGATTCGATGTAAAAAGACGTGTGCCCCAGTAGAAATACCGAACGGGAAATACATTTTGTCAAAAGATTACTCGAGTATTGAATATTCTTGTCTGTCTGGATACCAGCTCATCGGTCGGCAAAGACTAACGTGTACGCCTAACGTAACGTGGGACAGTGAAGCCCCTATCTGCACGAAAATGTGTACGCTTTCTAAACAAATTGAAGTGATATCTTTCCGAGAAAAAGAAACGTACGAAATTATCCCTTTTGGGACGCAGATTATTAATGGAACACAGGTGTATTCTATATGTCGATACATTACCAATCTTTCCAATCAGACTAATACTATAGAATGTCTTAACGGAAAACTCAGCCCCTACCCATGTGAAAAAATAGCAAGACTTGAAAATAATTTCTTAGAACTTAAATATAATGGTTATTGGGTTAGGATTTGCGGGTCTTCACATAATGTGTGCAGTATTTTCGGATACAGAATATATTACACTTCACGACGATGTAACAACTGCTACGAATTTGATTTCAAGGCTTCTATGAGAAAGAAAAGACCCATACTAATGTCTCGATCGTCAGCTCTTTATAATAATTGTTTGTTATGTAAGGAATGAACCGAAAGTAAATGTTGAATTTTACCTTAATGTTTTCTTGTTGAACTATTTTTCCTGTTAACGTTGTTTTCGTAATTCATATAAGATAAATGCTAATCACATTCTAGCAATTGTCATATTAGAGATTGTGAAAAAATGTTCATGGAAAAGGCAAATATTTGGTGTAGAAATAGTATATATTAATTTCTCTATCAGTGCCTGACCTGCCTTAAAACAATGGCGATTTTTCATGGATGTTTTAATAACTACTGATTTTGTTAAGGAAAAAATGGATTAAATTATAGCAGCACATTTCTTGTATGCATGGAAACTTATCCCACTAGATAGTATTGCTAAAGAGCAGTATAAAAGAAAAGGATATATATTCTCAAGCTTTTTACATACAGTATGCCGTAAGGAAAATTCATATCTCATTCCGGTCTGCGGGACTTCTTAGACCCCAGTGAACTACGTGCCGTATGCAACACAAGAAAATATATCTTCAACAATTAATAATACTATAACAAGAAGGCAATCTACATTCTAGAAAGCAATAAGCAAATATTTTTTGGAAAAATACAGAATATATCAGAGCTGAATAGCCACGCAGAATATAAAAAATACATACAATGAATTTCAGATGCCGGAGAGCAGCACGAAAACAGGAAACTTACTTAATTCTCTATCAATGTCTTTCTAAAGTATTCTCACTGATTTTAGAATTCATTTCGTATTTACACCTTTAGTTTTCACACAGGGAGGGATTTGCAGACCAAGTGGCAGCAAGTCAGCTCAAATTTTCAGGTCTCATATTCTACAGTATTCTAATTGATTTTCATAATCAGTTTATGATTACTCCTTTAGTTTTCACGCAGTTAAGAAATGTTAGTTTTTATTGCAGATCAAGTGCCAGCAAGTTCACTCACATCTCCAGATCACTCTTTCTATAGTCTTCTAATTTAACTTAGTAATTATAATACAATATACTATTATATTATGTTCACTAATGCACTACTTGTCTCTGTTTATCATTCCTTCAATAGGTCTTCTGTATGTTTTACAGCGATTAAAATGTAAAACATTAAAGATCTGTTTCTAACACCCAATTACAAAATCTATGGAAATATATAGATACATACATATATATATATATATATGTGTTTGTGAGTGTGTTTCCCCCACTCATTTAATTTTATGATATTTCGAGAACTGATTTTTTTTGCATCGCCTAATTTTTATATTTGTTATAAGGACAAATCACCGAATTTCAATTATTTTGTCAAACAGGACCGACAGTTAAAAGAAAATCTGCTTTTACTCGTAAAATAAAAAATACAATAAATCTATGATTCAGTTAGAAAAGATTTTAATTGATTTATGAATAAGTTTTTTCGATGAATAGTTATT